ATATTTCCCTTTTCATCTTAATCCGTTTTCCGTTTCGTTTTCCTTTTAATATTTCGGTTGTTTAATTGCATTGCTGCTAATCTTGGTGTTACCTAAAGTTCATTGACACATTAAAAATAGAGGAAAAGAGGAGTGGAGCTAAACACATTATGCTCTTTTCCTCTTGAAACCAAACATTCCGAATGTCGATTGTCAATTTGTTCCTGCCTCTTCCCCATGCCCTTCGTGTCATAGATCCATAAGAGTGCTAAATTCATAATGTTGTGGTTCGGTTTTGGCATTCATCAGTCTCTAAAATCATACAACTCCATGCGTCCGTCTCTTAATACCGCCGACCATTTTATCGATGCATTCATGTTGTTGTTGTTCCCTATTATCCGTATAGATTGTTTGCCATATTTGTCCCCCTTTACCCCTGTAAATGTTTCGGTTAGCTCCACGCATGCCCAACATCCAAAGATGCTCGATTTAACATAAACACATTGGTATTAATATAAACATGAGTATCGTCAAACGAGGAGCGTACATATTCCTCTCCCCTTTTCCTCTTGTATCCAAACAATCCGAAAAAAACCTATTTGTTCCTGCCTCTTCCCTTTTCACTCATTGTCATAGTTGCTTAAGATTGGGAAATTCATTATGCTGTGTATCATATTTGTGCCCAATAGTTCTTATCAACAAGTGTTGGGCGTACATATCCCCCTCCCCTTTTCCTCTTGTATCCTACAATTGATGCAGGCATGTTGTTGTTGCACCCTATAACCCATATATATTGCTTTCAATATATGTTGTTGTTATTCCCTATAGTTTGTTCCACATATTTGTCCCCCCCTTTCCCCTTGCCACATATTTGCCGACCTTTCCACGCATGCCCAACACTCAACGACACTAGATTTAACATAAACACATTGGTATTGATATGATCAGAAATAAACATAACTGCGTCTATCTCTTCATGCCACTGACCATTTCTATCGCTGACCATGTTGTTGTTGTTGTTATTCCCTATAGTTTGTTCCACATATCTGTTCCCCCTTCCCCTTGCCACATATTTGCCACCCTTTCCACGCATGCCCAACACTCAACGACACTAGATTTAACATAAACACATTGGTATTGATACGATCAGAAATAAACATAACTGCGTCTGTCTCTTCATGCCTCTGACCATTTCTATCGCTGACCATGTTGTATGTTTTTCCCTATAGTCCGTATAGTTTGTTTCCCATATTTGTCCCCCCCTTTCCCCTTGCCACATATTTGCCGCCCTTTCCACGCATGCCCAACACTCAACAATGCTCGATTTAACATAAACACATTGGTATTGATATGATCAGAAATAAACATAACTGCGTCTGTCTCTTCATGCCACTGACCATGCTGTTGTTGTTGTTGTTATTCCCTATAGTTTGTTCCACATATCTGTTCCCCCTTCCCCTTGTAAACATTTCGGTAAGCTCCGCGCATGCTCACATAGTTTGCCATCCCCAATATTCTTAAGGGAACCCCCCCCCCCCATTCTCGATTTTTTATTTTTAAGATTTTAAATGGGCTGGTAAATGAATACCAATGCTTGTTAAGGTTTGTAACTTTGCATATATATATTTGAAGATTTAAAAAGGAAGAAAAATAATTTACAAAAAAATTTTGTTGTTGTTTTGTTGTTGTTTTTTGTAATTAAAGAAAAGTCCTTACTTTTTAATGGCGGGCATGATAACTCCTCACTGGAACATCGGAATCCGAAAATTTCAACGGTGTTAGAAAGAGTACATGTCTGGCTCTCGTATGAACTAGGATTATTGACTTCGCTCTAAAATTAACAAAATGGCGGACCTTTGAAAAAATATTTTCGGAAAATCACCGATTTTTTACCAAAAACCTAGTTAAAAAATAAGGAAGATCTTCACCGATTGGCTTTATCCTAGTTCATACGATAGCTATACACTCACAGAGAAACGTGTAAAAATTTGAAATCGATTGGGTTATTAGTTTTTGAGTTATCGTGCCCGCCATTCGCAAAAAAATGTTTAGAGAAAAACGCGTTTAAAGTTTGAGAAGCCCTTCAGCCGTCAGTTGATGCTGACACAATAAATCGGCTATATCTTCAAGAGTTCTTGAGATTTTTACTTGAAATTTTGCAGGGACATTCTTGAATTAGTGTAGATTGGAATTAAGTCAACAAAAATGTTGACCCCGAGAATGGGGGGGGTCCCCTTAAACCGAAAGGACACACACGCACACACATTGCCATACTCAAGGTCAAGAGCGCGCCCACACACGTCGATCAACACAGTTTGCGAACGGAGACACACACACACAAACACATACTTTGCCATACTCAGAACGGAGGATCACACACACACACACGCACATACATAAATTGCCACACTCAGAACGGAGGATCACACACACACACACACACTATTTGTGAACAAAAGCGCACGTGTTCACACATACACGGACGGACAGACGATTTGTTTACTGTAATTTGATACTTTAATGAGTTTTTGACCATTTTAATGACTTTTGGCTAATCCTTTGTATTTTAAACCATACATCCTTATTCTACTGACATTTGGTACCCAAAAAGAACACTCTGTGCCAAATTACAGCCAATTTGGTTGTAAAATGTGTCTAATAGGCAAAAAATACCTTAAATCGGGAGATACGGTTATATGGGGGCTATATCAAAACTTGGACCCAGGGACCCCATGTTGGATTTCTATATTTGCTTTGTCATTAGAAACATGTGTGCAAAATTTTGGCCGCCTATGTCAAGTGGTTCGGCAGTTAATGAGTTTATACCCAATTTTTGGGTAAATACTCATAATAGGGGTACCTTTGTATGGGGGCTACCAGTAAACGTGGACCTACATACATAACATTTGCATGGACATTTGGTACCCAAAAAGAACATTCTGTGCAAAATTACAGACAATTTGGCCTCAAAATGTGTCTAATAGGCTAAAAATACCTTAAATCGGGGGATAGGGTTATATGGGGGTTCTATCAAAACTTGGACCCAGGGACCCCATGTTGGATTTCTATATTTGCTTTGTCATTAGAAACATGTGTGCAAAATTTTGGCCGCTTATGTCAAGTGGTTCGGCAGTTAGTGAGTTTATACCCAATTTTTGGGTAAATACTCAAAATAGGGGTACCTTTGTATGGGGGCTACCAGTAAACGTGGACCTACATACATAAAATTTTGCATGGACATTTGGTACCCAAAAAGAACACTCTGTGCCAAATTACAGCCAATTTGGTTGTAAAATGTGTCTAATAGGCAAAAAATACCTTAAATCGGGAGATACGGTTATATGGGGGCTATATCAAAACTTGGACCCAGGGACCCCATGTTGGATTTCTATATTTGCTTTGTCATTAGAAACATGTGTGCAATTTTGGCCGCCTATGTCAAGTGGTTTGCAGTTAATGAGTTTTTACCCATTTTTCGGGTAAAAACTCGGGTATTTACCCAAGTATTTACCCACGTTTTTAAAGTATCGTAAAACTATCTATTCTAAATCGATTTGATAACAGAAACCCGGAAATAGGGTGTAAGATGTTGTATTACCGAGTCAATATAGTAAATACCCAAATAAATACCCGCAAATGGGTATTTACCCGGTATTTACCCACCCCTTGGGTATTTACCCGGTAAATACCATCTCTATACACAAGATTTTATTTCGGGAGTTGGGTGGAAGTTGCTGGTTCAATATGAAAAATTTTGTATGCGTACGTCTTTGGAGGTTAAGCGGCGCCAAGATTGATTAAATTATATAAGAATTACTATGCCTAACTGAGGACCAATATAGCTCAATTTTGAACAAAAAAATCCTTCCTTCGCGTTAAATATAAAAAATACCGAAAATCGGAAGGTTTCATTATATGGGGGCTAGGCTTAAATGCGTGCCGATATAGTTCATTCTCGAACCGGGCTTTTAGTTGTTTATCTCTATATCCTCCGATGGTAGAATGATTACAACAGCTTTGGTACACCATTTACATAAAATCGAACGAACAGATATTCACGAAATTTAGCACACATCATTCTAGGCCCAATTCATTGCGCTATGCAAAATTTTTGTGCTTTAGATACATAAAACACCAAATTAGAGCGAATTCGATTAAAAACCGAGCTCAAGAATTAGAAAATATAGAAAATTTTGGGGAACCCTTATATGGGGCAACCACAAAAATGGTTGCTAAACTCAAAGTACAATTCGAAAATTTTGGCGATCTATATGCTTTTTTTTAGAGGCTAGAGTGATTACAACAGACGGACGGACATGCATAAACTTTACGCCCATCAAGAATATATATAGTTTTAGGGTCGGGAAATAAAACCAATATACACTCCTATGGCGAAGGGTATAAAAATACAATACAAATAAATATATGAAGATTAGGCCATATCTCCGAACATAGACCTATTGCGAATTTTTCTTTCTGGGGATTTCATATACTTGCCAAGGGGCTTCATTCCCAATATGAATATACGAATGTAGCTCCACACAATGGTTATGGCACCACCCTTAATAGACTAATATGGGTGGTCCGTCGTCGAAAACACTCATCCCATCAGGAAAATGCGACAATAGAAACGGAATTATTTCCAAGCTTGAAACTTTCAAATGCTAATTGCTAGTTTCGAAACGATTTTAACTAGACACTATACTTTTATAACTTCCATTATAAGGTGCAATCCTTCCAAATATTTTTTGGAGGCTCCCATTTTCGGTAGTTGGGGCACAATTTCAATTCTGTTCCTTGAACGATAGGAGACTTGCCCACAGAAAATTGTCAATATAGATCCATGTTTTGACATAGCCCATATCCCGCTCCCATTTTAAGTATTTCGAAGGGCTCTGATGCATTTAGTATTACGCTTTCTCAAAAAATAAAAAACATCATCTTCTTATATATGTTCCCTATATTTTGCTGAATGAAGATACTTATGACATTTTTAATAAATTTCACCTTTTTCTACTTACCTCAGCTAACAGGGTCAAATACAGGGAATTGATATCCTCAGGTTCGGTTATATTTAATCCCGTGAGCTTAGTCAATTCACTGAATAAATATTCATGAGGTTTAATTTCTTCTTGAACTGTGGCAGAACTTAAAACTTCTTGGAAGGCTTCATGATAACGAGGACATGGTGTACGGACCAATAATAGCTGGAAAATAAATAATTCAAATAAAAATAAAAGATGTGGTGAAGGGTATAAACACACCGCCAATAATAATCTCTACTTACCGTATCCTCATTTAATTCCTGTGAATACACTGGAACTGGTTGCCAATTAAATTTCGAATTCCATTCCATGGGTGTATTTTTCGGTTGAAAGAGACTAGCCAATACCGTTTGTAAACTCATATGAGTACGTGGAACACCAGTTGCCTGGGCATGAATCAGCTAGTGGAGGATTACATTTTATTTTTATAAATTAATCTATTTTGTTTTTTCAACATGTTTGTAGAGAAAAACTTACATCCGGAAAATAATGGCTACCCAAAAAGTTACCATAACGTTTACGCAACCAGCTACCAATGTTGAACAATTCACGTTTACCACTCTATTATGTATGGACCCCGGGAATGACGAGACGACATTCATTTTGGGTTCAATTTTGAAGTAGACAAGTAAAGTAGATTGTTTACGAGACATCATCATCATCGCCGGCACCGTAGGATTGTAGTCACACAACGAGTGCAATATGCAGTGATTTATTGCCAAACACACACCGGGACATAGAATAGGGACAACCAAATCATCATCATTGTTATTGTTGTTGCCAAAGCCATCAGGAGGAATGTCATATAGGGGGAAAAATAAAATAAAGAATTTCATGAAAATACAAACGAATGCAACATTGTTAACAGTAATAGTTCTCTTTTTGAAGTAGTTCCAACACCCCTTTTGTAAATGGGATTTTCCAATTCATCATGAAAATCCACAACAGTACTACAATATACAGTAATATACCACCTAGACATTTATTTCACTTGTTCGGTTAACTGATGTCTGGATTTTCATTCTGCATTGGAGTACCATCGCATTTACATAGCAATTTATATTTAATACTTCATATGTGGTCGCATAACTCATGGGTAGTTGGGAAAACTTTAACAGTAGTGAAGGATTGTGGAAATACCCTATTTTTTTCATTGCAAAGAAAAAACTCTTTGCAAAAATATTGGTTCACAATTACCATTACATATTAGATATAATCAAAATGTCGTACTGTTTGATTTTAGTCCTTTTCACGCAACTTTTCCAAATAGTTGCAGGTAAATACGATTCGCCTTTACTATATTACACTTCTTTCTACATTCACTGTTACTTACATTTGTTATGTGTCCCCATCCATAGGGATAGAATGTTTGATTTACATGCGGATCATTGGGATAGGTGTCGGCAGGTGTGCGTGGTCCATGACGAAATACCTGTAATTGAACGTGAAGAAAGATGGAAATATTTTTAACAATAAAATAAAAAATTTCAAGTAGATATAATCCAGCACAGTTCTCACATATAAAACACAATGATGGAATGTTGAGATGTTAATGAGTTAAAGTTAAATTCTCAGACTAAACTAATTCGCTAAACATTCAATGGGAATCAACGTAGGTAGCGATATACCAAAATTGGAAAATGGTATAGTCAAGCAATCAGACTCTAAAATATGTGAAATGGATCTATGTCACGAAATGATGTTGGAATGTTGCCTAATGTTTGAGAGATTATATGAAATACCACACAAAACAACCCTGTATGGGCACTGCGAGAATTTATAGCTATTGTGTGCCTAACGTTAGGCTACGTTATATTAATTTATGTAGTTCTATATCCAAAAAAAAAATTACAATAACAAAAGAATTAAAATAACCAGTAAGGAAAGTAGTAAAGTCGGACTGGGGCGACTATATGATACAATTCACCTATGATACCCTTCAAGCTATGCTATATCTAAATCTGAGCCGATTTCAAAGAAACTTGGCCGAGATTAATTTATATTAATTTCAGTACGTTTTGCCAATCGGCCTAGCTATGGGTCTTTAGTACACCATTTACTTAAAATCGGACGAAAGTATATATAAGAGCTATATGTAAATTTGAACCAATTTCAAGAAAACTTGTCACACGAAAGGTTGCAGTAACTTCAGTAAATTGGTTCTTTAGTGCACAATTTACATTAAATCGGACGAAAATATATACTGGAGCTATATCTAAATCTGAACCGATTTTCACGAAATTTAGCACACATCATTCTGGATCCAATTCAGTACCCTATGCCAAACTTCGTGCAAATCGAAATATATATAGGAATTTTGGAGACCCTTAAATCTTGACCTAATTCAGTACTTTATGACAAATTTCGTGCAAATCGAAAGATATATAAGGACTTTGGTGCCCCATTTACCATAAATCGTACGAAACTATATATGGGAGCTATATCTAAATATGGACCGATTTTCACGAAACTTAGCACACATCATTCCGGACCCAAGTTCCAAGTTGTGCCAAATTTCATCCAAATCGGATCATAAATGCCACCTGTACTTTGTTAATAAAAATACATGGACGGACAGACGGACATGCATAAATCGACTCAGAAAGTGATTTTATGAATATCCTCAAAAGGAACCATGGGTCTATCTCGATTATTTTTGCCTGTTACAAACATATGCACAAAGACATAATACCCTGTACCACAGTGTGGTGAAGGGTATAAAAATCGAACCATCAGGTTGTGTTTCAATAACTCAAACAGAAACAGAATGCATAGATTATCTAAATCTGTATATGTCAAGGAAACGCCATTCTATAGTATGATGAAAAGTGCATTAACGAATTAAGTTTTGGTTTAACCCAAATTTAATACACCACATAGTAGGCTCAAACCGTAAGAAATTACGAATATGTATAGGGGCTATATCTAAATCTGAACCTTTTTAAACAAAACTTAACCCCAGCCATTCTAAACTCAACACGGCATTCAATATTTTATCTCAATAGGACAAACCTTAGGAGTTTGCTGCATTAATAACATAAAATCGGCCGAAAATATATTTGGGAGCTATATCTGAACTCCCAGACTACATGCGTTATTCCAAATTTCCTTTCAATTTGAAAACCTTGGGAGTAACAAGCATTATTAAAGACTAAATTCCATATGCCCTTCAAAATTTTGTGTAAATTTTTCCATCATAGGATTTTTGGTGCACAATTTTTATAAAATCTGATACATGAAAACTTCCCAACCAAGCTCCCGAAGTTTCTGGCGAGTCACTGTAGATGTGTGTGGCCTAGCGTTGTCCCTCTGTTGGCCAATTCTAGCCGTTTCTGGTCAATTACCATCTTCAAACGGTCCAGTTGTTGACGCTAGAGATCAGAAAGCAACTCATAATAAATAATCCGCTTTCAGTCCCACCAAATGTATAGCAGAACCTTCCTGGCCGTTAATCCTGGTTTTTGCCACTGTTTGAGGTGCTTCACCGCTCTTTGACCACAATCGTTTTGGCACAAGGTTATCGTATGTGATCCATTTCTCATCTCTATTCGCAATCCGTTTAACTAATTCCGTTTGGCCAAGGCTTCGTAGATGGAAATTCGATCCATCCCATTTTTTTCTGTTAATTGATGCGGCACCCAAGCATAGAGCTTATTTTTTAATCTTTGTGTAAATTGTTTAAATCACTTTTATGGTCGATTTTTAGCTCTTGGGCAATGTTACCACTGCTAATATGCGGGTCAACTTCGATCATTTATCGACATTTTCGACGACCAGCCTAATGGATTTATTTTTCCCAACCTAATATTTTATTCATTAATTAACACGCACTTATACCATTTTTATATTGAAAACCAGTAAAGAAAGATCAAAAGTCGGATGGGGCCGACTATATGATACTCTTCACTACTTTGGGTACATACAAGAGATGATCATCCTTTAGATAGAATAGTCATATAATGTTTGGAGGGCCATTAAAATGGAAATTAACTGCGTAATGAAATCGGCCCGGTAGTACAAAATGAAAAAATTCGATGTTACAAACATAAATTTACTGTGAAAAAAATTCATTTCGGGGGGGCCCGGGCCGCCCCCTGCGTTCGTCCCTGATGGGAGCTATATCTAAATATGAACCGATTTCAACAAAAATTGACATATATAAATCTAGACCTAATTCAATACTCTGCAAAATTTTGTCTCAGCCGGACCAATATAGGGAGTTTGGTGCACCATTTATCTAAAATAGGACGAAACTATATATGAGAGCTATATCTAAATCTGAACCGATTTCTACCAAACTTGGCATAATTTTGTGCACCATTTACCTTAAATCGGACGAAACTATATATGCGAGCTATATCTAAATCTGAACCGATTTTCTCCAATTTCAATAGACTTCGTCCTTGGGCCAAATAAGTGACATGTACCCAAATTTATCCAAATCGGATCATAAATGCGATCTTTGTTCACAAAAAATACATGGACGGACGGACAGACGGACATGCATAAATCGACTCAGAAAGTGATTCTATGCATATTCTCAAGAGTAACCATGGGTCTATCTCATTTCCTTTTGCCTGTTACAAACATATGCACAAAGACGTAATACCCTGTACCACAGTGTGGTGAAGGGTATAAAAACCAACTGGATACTTTTTGACTGTGCGTATTCGTTGGTCTGACCAATTCCCCGCGTAAAATTTTTGTAATGTTCGGTTTATAATTGTGGCCAAAAAAACAGACAAAATAAAATTTTTGGTTTATTTAATTGTTCCATGACTGTGGCTTGTACTTTGTTTTCAACTTATTATGAAAAGTCTGACGGACATACATGTCTAGATCGGCTCAGATTGGCATAAGGACATCGTAGACATTATATCTACCACGTTGAGAATATATGCTTCTCGACAATAACTCTTTGGTTTAACGAGACTCACCAAGATGATTAACGAATTTCGGATATTTTTTTTTAGTTTTTATAAGCCTTCTGACCCAAGTATCTATAGAAATTATGTCATTCCAAAGAACGTATAGGAATAGAAAATTCAGTTATTTCTTCAATAATGTAGCCTATAAATACATTATTTTTAATTGTTTTTGAGCGACGTGGTTTTATTTTTCATATCACTAACTCGAAGCGTATATACATATTTAATCGTGTTATTTCTATTGAACAAATGTCAAACAATAAAAGCTCCAAAAGGTGTTTGTTTGAAAGTCCTGAATTTTGATATACCGCAAACTGAATGCAAATCTAAGATTCCTCGTTAGAGAGGGTATAAATATTCAGGGTCATTGGGTTAATTATGTATATAAAAAATAGCTGTATGGTCACGAAACAAAAAAAAAAAATCACTCGAATGGTTTGGGTTTCAGCACGCAATTTCAGAATTCAACCTATTTATTTGTTTCATCCTCAAAATTAAATAAATGCAAATTTAAGTTATTAGCACACCTGTTTCGTATTATTGCAGCTGATTAAAAATGTTGTCTCGGCGGCACACATACATGCATAATTAAAAATTCTGATAATAAAAATCGTCTTACCATATAGAAGCAAGTCTAGACATAGACAAAGCTGTTCACAAATTTTAGAATCTCAAGTGGAAACAATGGTGTATAACGAAACATCCACGATGAGGACTAACTTAAATCCTTTCCAATTAATTCCATTTTTAGAAAACGTGCACAAATATATTTTTTAAGAAAAATATTCTTCTTGTATTAGGTTGGCTTAGGATTGCAATATATTCTACCAGTCTTTCCATAGCACCCTAATATATATTTTTCTAAATATATATGTATGTATGTAAATAAGTAGGCATTAAATAAATTAAATACATTATTATTTCTGATGAACGCAAGAATACACACGATGGCACGAGACTTTATTATAATTTCACGCCTCCCATTGTAATGTGATATAATTTATCATCCACCCTGCCGGCACTCACATACTGCTGAGGTGACAAAAATAATTATGAGATGGTGGCCTACCGCAAAAACATCAGGGTTTTGAAATTAAACCCCCATCCAACAACAACAAGAGCAACAGAAAAATTTGCTGTTACAAATGTTTTCGAAATATTTACTTATATGAATATTAATATTTTTCACGGTATAACAACAACAATGGCAGCAGGAAAAAGTATTTTATATACAAACACACACATAACACCCATATGTGCAATCAGATATGGTAAAAATTAAAATAATTTATTTTGCATTTGATAACGTTCGGCATAATTAAACTTTAGCCTGCCTATACTTTGGGTCTCATAAAAATTAAAATAATTTGCATATTTACTAAATTAGAAACGTTGCAAACGACAAGTTCCAATTCCCTGTCATTTTCGATTAGAAATCTATGCAAATTAAATCAATGTTTATTTATATGTGTGTGATTGTTTTTTGTTTTGTCTATTACTATTGTTGTTGCCCCATCAATTTGCAACGGAATTGAAATGGATTTAAATTGCAATTGATAGGGATCAAGAAAAAATATATGTATGTGTATAAAAATGTGATATTAAATTAGAGCGTTAGAAAAAAATGAACGAAGGATTGTTTAAACGAATGGAGTGGATGTTTTAACGAGAACTAAGGAAAGTCTTCATATATGGGATAACTAAAGAAAGTCTTCATATAAGGACTGAGGGGAGCCTCTATAGGCAATATGATATGAGTTCTTAGGCGACATGTTGGAAATCAATTTATACGAGTTGAAGGGAGTAACTTTTGTGTGAAGCTAAAGATTGGGGTTTTATAATGACAAACTGGGACTACCGGGGAATATGCAATATAGATTTTTTATAAGCGAGTTACATTACACATACAAACTTAAAATGGTTATGTAGGTAAGCTGCAGCAGTGTTCGTGAGTATTTATTGTAAATATGTTCTCAATGGGTAGCAAATCTTCCTACAAAAAACCATGGACTTTGGTCCAGTTTATAGGGTAAAACATGTCAAAAAGCATTAAGTTCGGCCAGGCCGAACTTTGGATACCCTCCACCATAGGTATACTGACAGATACTTGAAATGAAAATATAGGGAACATACCAAAAAGTGAACCTATACCGATAATTCTACAAACCGGTTTATGTAAACCATTATGTACACCAAATACAAATTTCAGCAATCTTTAATGAAAACCCCAAAGCGTGGACTCATACTAATAAAACATGGTAGAATATACAATCCTCAAACTACTGCAATTTAGATTACAAAGTTAGATTACATAGTGTAGGAATTAGCGAATATTTGAGGTCATAATTATATGAGGGCTGTGCCTAAATAACGACCGACATATCTCAATTTCAAATATGTTTGTTTTGTGTCTAAATTCTTTCCTTCAGGAGGTATAATTATATGGGACAGATGCCTAAATGCTGGCCGGAATATTTCGTTATCGCCAGGTTCAAGTTATCACGAAATTTGGTACTAAATATTATAAATATAGGTTCACTTTTTATGGTATGCTCGATATAACGGTACCCCCAATTTTCAGTATTTTGGGGGTTTTGAGCGTAGTTAGCTTTAATATAGTACTATAAGTTCCTATATGGTAGCTATTCTCTCTCCATATAAGGTTACCACCATTTTTCGGTATTTTGGGGTTCTTGAGCGCGTTTTCAAGCGAATTCGCTGTAATTATACCCTACACAACTATATTGTCAGGGTATTATAGCCTTGTGCAGCCCCAAAAATTTGTAACGCCACGAAATATTGGTCCTAGACCCACCTTTAAGTATACCGATCGGCATATCTCGACTAGCTGAGTCGATCTAGACATGTGTGTCCGTCCGTCCGTCTGCCCATTATAATTTGTAAACACGATACAGGCCACAGTTATTCACGAAATTTTGCATGTAGGATGGGTTCTGGCCAACGAAGACCTCTATTGTTTTTGGGAAAGTTCGGTTAATATTTAAGGGATGAAATGGACCAAATACTATTTTTTTCAGTTTTTCTGGTCGCTCCAGAGGCCGCAATAATGGCTTGAACTTCGTGAATGAAGAAGGGGATCGGGCCAAAGAATAAGCATGCCTGTTTTGATAAAGATCGGCCAATATTTAGCGGGTCAAATGGACCCTGACTTTTGTGTGATAAATAACAAAATTTGTATTCTATAGCATATATATTTACCACTGAAGGACATAGACCCGAGAAGTTGATATAATATCCAAGAGGAGTGGTTGACCTTTAAATTATGACCAATTATATTGTTGTATGTGCTCGGATGTGGGAGTTACACCTAAATATTTACAGATACATCCGTATTCGTATATTATTTAGTATATTATTTAGTGATGATCAGATAATAATTTTGGATCTATAGACCACAAATGAAAGCCGAACATCACAACACAACCCACGGTGAAGGGAATCTGGACAATAGCTGTACTGAATACTCGTAATATTCGGAAAATATGTCAGTGTCAGGAAGAGGTGCTGTTTACATCTATCGGACAAGAGGGTGCAAATATCACGAAATATTGCCCAGGCTCGGAATAAACATCCGCAAAAACTTTGAGTTTCGTGGTAGTTGTGTAGGGTATCGTATGGTCGGCCCCGTCCGACTATACTGCTCCGCTCACTGGTTTGCTATTTTGTAGTAGAATATGGTAGCAATATGCATAGAATCACTTCTGAGTCGATTTATGCATGTCCGCCCGTCTGTCCATGTTAAATTGTAAACAAAATATAGCTCCCGTATATATTTTCGTTCGATTTAATGTAAATGGTGCATCAAAATCCCCATATATATTTTGATTTGGACGACATGTGGCATAGAGTACTGAATTGAGTCTATAATGTTGTGTGCTAAATTTTTGAAAACGTTCAGATTTAGATATAGATCCCATATATACTTTCATCCGATTTTACATAATTCTGCACATTAGATTGCGCTATCAATATAGGTCCACGTTTTGGGGTTTTCGGATTTTAAGAAAAAAAAAAAAACAATTAAAAATTGCTGTAATTTCTATATGGTGTACATAATGGTTAACATAAATCGGTTTGTAAAATTGTCGGGATAGGTCCACTTTTTGGTATGATCCCTATATTTTCATTTCAAATACCTGTCAGAATACCTATGGTGGACTTGTTTTGTATATTGATACCCTCTTAAGGTTGTGTGATTACAAGGGATGTACAGACGGGCGGAAGTCGCTAACTGAGTTTGGTATCCCAAACTTTGTAGAATATAAACTGACAATTTTGAGTAGAGATATTCCCCATACTTGGGTGGAATATGGATATATGAGGAAACAAGTCAGTTAACTATTTTAATAATAATTTTAAGTAGACATTTGTGAACCACTACGAGCCCAAAGTATAATATTATAACGAATTACGAATTCGAAAAATTTGTAACTTTTACCAATGTTGTATTTATCTAAGAGGTTAAAACTCTACTTCTATTAATCGTCGCGATATTTCGGTAATGATCGATTAATATTTAGGCGATGAAATGGGCCAGATTTTTTTGTCTGTTTTTTCTGGTCGCTCTAGATGCCATAATTGTGATCCGAACATCACGAAATTATGTATGGTGAAAGGGGTATGACTACAAAATAAGCATGACTGAAGTTCGGTAAATATTTAGCAGGTCAAATGGACCCTGTGTTTTATGTGCAAAACGACAAAATTTGTATTGTATGGCGTACATATTTACTTCTAAAATATGTAGGCCCAATTATATTGTTGTTTGTGGGAATATTACATAAATGCTTACGTATTTGATATTGTTAGTATTACCATTACCACACTAGAGGTCGAAAATGTAGCGCTGATGGACGAAGGTTTAATATTCGGTGATGAACAGATGATATTTTTAGTTATAGGGGCCACAATTATAAGCCAAACATTATAAATTTTCGATAGGGTAGGCGATCTGACGAATTAATCAATATTTAGCCGGTCATATGAACCAAAAGTTATTCATGTAAAATTACAAAATTTGTATATTATGAGGAATTGTTTACTTTATTCGGAAAAGATGCCGCAGAGGAGCTGTTGGCCTTTAATCGGTCAATAGAGTGCAAATATAGCGAAAATTGCCCAGGCTCAGAACATAGTTCCGCAGAAATATAGATCTTAATGGTAGTTCCTTGCAAAAACTTTTCGATTTTGTTTCATGTTCTGACAAATTTCTATATAAAGTTTCGGCCGATTTTGCAGTCTTTCTTTATAAGCACTAATTGGCGAATCCACGAATTTAATTTTACTCATACCATTTCGAAATAAAACAATATGTAATAACATTATATAAATTCGCGTTGTATATTGGACTGCCGCCTATAAAAATTTCACTTTATTAAAACAACACAATGACTATACACAAACTTTGAATTCGAAAACGATTTTATTTTTTTTGTAAAAATTCTAAACGCCTTTTATTCTCGCTTAGAACTCTGCTGATAAGGTGGCACAAAACCATATGTGGGTTATAAATACTCAACCTTGTTCCGCACATGTTTAGACTAGTTTGTAGTGGCGCCAAATGAGCCGCTGAATTATGTTTTTTAATGGAGAACAAAGCAATCATAATTCAAAAAAAAAAAAAAAAAATCAAACTCAACACAATTCACTCTGATAAAGAAATCCATAAAAACAAATTGTCGATGCATTGCAGCCGCCCTAATGTCTGCCATGGTCTGTTCAGCACGAGACTTGTGAATGATGTGATGCATCATTGATTCAATGGAAAAGCTTTGACCAACACACTTAACTTTAGAATGATAAGCGATTACAGCAGCAACAGCGGTAGCAATAATGCTCACACAAATTCCGAACTCGCTCTTTACGTTCATTTCTATCGATTCACTAAGAATTTTTTGGTACTTACCACATGCAACAGCTCCAATGTTGATTGATCCGCTGAGTTGACGGCTGAGGGCTTGACAGAATCGGCTGGAGTACCGAAAAGTCCCAAGACGGCTAATGTTAACACCAGAATAGAGACGGTAGCCGTCATTGCGAGACAAAGTTTTCGAGTGAAATGTGAACGAGCCATGGTGATTAGAGGTATTTTATATATTTAATTAATTCAAATACAACCGCAAACAAAATCACACAACAGCAGCACCAACAACAAGCAGGCGCTTGGGAAGAGTCACGGAAAAAAATAAAAACAAAACACTGACAAACACACAAACTCACGTTCGATCTCATTAGGTTTTAAACAAAACAAAAAAGGCAATAATAATTTGGCAGAATTTTTAAATGTTTTTAATTATAATAGGAATAACTATTAGTTTTGTTGTTGTGCTTGTTTTGAATTAGGTTTTATAATTTTATTTTCTTTTTATTATTTTCTTAAATTATGATTTAAAATTCATAGGTTAAGTTTACTTAGGTTGCGGATTCCAGTTGTTGGTATTGTCTTTTGACATTAACATTTTTCTTTGAGTGTACGAGTAATTTTATGAAATGATATAATTCTTTTCCCGAGATAAATTTTGTATTTTTCTTCGTCGTATTTTTGTTGACACAACATTTGTGTTTGTTTTCTTTTCACCTTATGCCGAATCTACAATGAAAGCAAATATCGTAAATTAATTAACATATTAAACTTGATTTTGTTTTATATTTTGACAATTTTTATTGATGGATGTGCCAAAAGTCTATGCATAAATTCATTATAAAGATTTGAATAAACCACTTCCATAAAATATAAGATTTTACATTGTATAGAGAGTCAACAACCAACCAGGGATGTTTTGTGTAATGAATTTATAGACTGTCAAAATGTTGGAAATGTCGAAAACGTCATATACATACATCACAAAAGGATGGCATTTACGTCCCAGCGAAAAAATCGTCGAAGCAAACAAATCCCCATCCCATAATACCAACAAAAATCCACTCCTTTTTAGACTTTGGAAAAAATATTCTTTAAAAATCCACGCCTTTTGTAGACCTTGGAAAAAAATATTCTTAAAAAATTAATTATAGACCTTAAAAAAAATATTCTTTAAAAATCCACGCCTTTTGTAGACCTTGGAAAAAATATTCTTTAAAAATTAATTATAGACCTTGGAAAAAATATTCTTTAAAAATCCACGCCTTTTGTAGACCTTGGAAAAAAATATTCTTTAAAAATTAATTGTAGACCTTGAAAAAAATTTTCTTTAAAAATCCACGACTTTTGTAGACCTTGAAACAGTATTCTCTAAAAAATTATCGTTTTTGGTAGACCTTAAAAAAATCCATCCTCTTATAGAATTATTAGGCAACACTCCAAAATGCCGAATAATGGGGGTTAGCATTATATGGGGCTACCGGGAAATTTGGGTCAAGCTCCCTAAAATACCGATCTAATAAAATTTCATTCTTCACTAATAATAATTATATGATACACTTCTAGTAGAAGTGGCCCAGGAGTAAGATTTGTAGGAATAAATTTAAAATTGTACACCTTGTCCTTGTGCATATGTTTGTAACAGACAAAAGAAAACGATATAGACACAGGGTTCCTCTTGAGAATATACATAGAATCACTTTCTGAGTCGATTTATGCATGTCCGTCCACCGTACTAAATTAAATCTAGAATGATGTGTCCTAATTTTTCTAATCGGTTCAGATTTAGATATTGTTCCTACATATATATTTTCGTCTGATTTTAGGTAAATTTTACACCGATTGACACGAAATTTTGCACAAAGTATCAAATTGAGATTAATTTGTATATTTTTATAAATGTGCGTGAAGATAAAATCGATTTTAACTAGCAAAGACTCAATCCACCAAATTTAGCAAAGACACGTATAACAGATTTCAGTTCAGTATAACAGATGTTAAAATCGTTTTTATAACAATTCAATGACCAATTGAGCAATAAATATAAATAAAACAGGCAAAATATTGGTACTCCCGGAAAGGCAATTCCAAAAGCTATTTAAAACCGCTTTAACTGAAAAAATGAATCATGGTTTTATTGAATAAAAATAGATATTACTAAAATTTGAAAAGTTATCATCGATGCCCATTGTGAGAAATCTAAAAATGTTACCGCACTATGGAACCCGGCATTTGAAAGCCCACTAGGTGTACTTTCAGAAAATGCATATTTTATAAAAATCCATTTTGGATTTTTTAAAAAAAAATTCATATTAGTAAAATTTGAAAAGTTATCATCGATGCCCATTGTGCGAAATCTAAAAATGTTACCGCACTATGGAACCCGCCATTTGAAAGCCCACTAGGTGTACTTTCAGAAAATGCATAATTCATAAAAATCCATTTTGGAAATTTTTTTAAATTAATTTTTTTTTAAAAATTGAATAATTTTAAGGGAAAGCCCACTAGGTGTACTTTCAGAAAATGCTTATGTTATAAAAATCCATTTTGGATTTTTTTAAAAAAATTCATATTAGTAAAATTTGAAAAGTTATCATCGATGCCCATTGTGCGAAATCTAAAAATGTTACCGCACTATGGAACCCGGCATTTGAAAGCCCACTAGGTTTACTTTCAGAAAATGCATATTTTATAAAAATGCATTTTGGAAACTAACTTTTCAAATTTTTGGATTTTTATGAATTATGCATTTTCTGAAAGTACACCTAGTGGGCTTTCAAATGCCGGGTTCCATAGTGCGGTAACATTTTTAGATTTCGCACAATGGGCATCGATGATAACTTTTCAAATTTTACTAATATGAATTTTTTTTAAAAAAATCCAAAATGGATTTTTATAAAATATGCATTTTCTGAAAGTACACCTAGTGGGCTTTCAAATGCCGGGTTCCATAGTGCGGTAACATTTTTAGATTTCGCACAATGGGCATCGATGATAACTTTTCAAATTTTAGTAATATCTATTTTTATTCAATAAAACCATGATTCATTTATTCAGTTAAAGTGGTTTTAAATAGCTTTTGGAATTGCCTTTCCGGGAGTACCAATATTTTGCCTGTTTTATTTATATTTATTGCTCAATTGGTCATTGAATTGTTATAAAAACGATTTTAACATCTGTTATACTGAACTGAAATCTGTTATACGTGTCTTTGCTAAATTTGGTGGATTGAGTCTTTGCTAGTTAAAATCGATTTTATCTTCACGCACATTTTTTTATAAATGTATAAAGATCACAAATCTGCAGAGAGACCACAGGTTTGTATAGAAACCAGAAGTGTTTATAAAGAACATAGGGGTTTAAATAATCGAATTGGTCTATACTCAGGCCACAAGCCTTTATACAGGCCAATTGGTCTGTACAGAGAGCATTTGAAAGTCAATATAAAGACCAATTAGTATGTGTAGAAAAAACAGGGGTTTATAAAGACCGGCTGGTATACTTAAAGACCTATGGTCTCTATATTGACCAATTGGTCCTTATAAACCTGTTGTTCTCAATGCAAAACAATTGGTCTTTATAAACCCGTTTTTTTTGTAGACTTTAATTGGTCTTTATAAAGACCTATGGTCTCATTATGCCAATAATCATATCTAGATATGTTTGTTGATTCAGTCATTTAAGATACTACGATCATGAATAACCGGTAAGTCTAAGACCAATATTTCGTGATTATTTAATTCTAAATAGTTTGCTTTCAAGAACACTATTGATAATTGGAAAATACTGTAACTTACCACAATTATCTATATGCAAGCAACTTAAATGATTGATTGAAAACAGATTATTGACACATTTTCTTTTTTTTTTAAATCCATTTACTACCTATGAATAAAAGGTATAATCATTAAAAATCACGACAAAAATCACCAATGACATATTGTATTACAACAAACAACGTTTATTTGAAAACTGAGTAAAAAAGACTGAAACCTTCCTTGTCGTAAATATTTCGATTAGAATTTTACAATATAAAGGCCAAACCGATACCATTAATTGCACAAAGTAACTATGTATGTAAATTATTCCAAGCAATGTCAAGTGTTTTATACATTATGCAGTTTTGTATCGTCGAAATACCTAATTAGACAATTTCATTGGCAAGGCCAAATACCAAATAATAGCATGTTAATGAACGGTGGTAAGGAAAACTTCGAAACGGGAATGTTGGTGCTTACATAAAATTCCAAAACGATTAAACTGAGACAAATTTTTCTTTTTATACCCTCCACCATAGTATGGAGGGTATATTAATTTTGTTTTTCCGTTTGTAACTCATCGAAATAATCATTTCCGACTCTATAAAGTATATATATTCTTGATCAGCGTAAAATTCTATGACGATATAGCCATGTCCGTCTGTCTGTTGAAACCACTCTAGCGTCTAAACGAATTGAGATAGATCGTCAAAAAAGACGAATTTTTGTCTGCAGGCATGTCAAGTTCGAAGATGGACTTTATCGGTCCACGTTTAGGCATAGCTCCCATATAAGGGTACCCTCTAATTTTCGGTATTTTGGGGTTCTTGAGCTCGTTTTTCAACCGAATTCGCTGAAATTTGCCACATTGGGTTCTTATTTGGTCCTAAATGTATCCACTAAAAATTATAAATATAGGTCCACTTTTTCTGGTAGCTCCCATATAAGGGTACCTCCCAATTTCCAGTTATTGGGGGGTTTTGACCGGATTTCTTCACCGAATTGGCAGTAATTTAGTAATTCGAGTTCCTATTGGGTAGCAAATATCTCCACAATAAAATATAAATATAGGTCAATTTTTTCGGGTAGCCCCCATATAAGGGTACCCCCAATTTTCGGGTTCTTGAGCGCGTTTTTTAATCGAATTCGCTGAAATTTGATATTTTGTAGTCGTATATGGTAGCAAATCTCCCCACCAAAAATTATTTATATTCACCCCTTTTTAGGGGTAGTCCCCAGATAACCCCCTTTTTATATTAAAATAGTTATCTGATTTGTTCCGTGTGTTGCGGTTGGGTAGTCGTTACGGGGAATAGTCAATTTTTACCCTACAAGGACTATTTAGTCATCTGTTGTAAGCATTCCGCCTTCTAATGATATTGTGATAAAAGAAAACTCAAACATGACTATAATGAAATATATGGGCAGACATTTAGGCATCTCCTCAATATAGTGATACCTCCTTAAGGAAAGAAATGAGATAAAAAATTAA